GTCGAAAGGAGACTGCGACCATACCCGAGGCCACAACATCTTGGTCTTCACATCTTCAATACAAACTATAAAGTCTATCCTTCCTATTCCATCTAAGGTGATAAAGCGACTGGAAGTAGAATTCTTTCGCAATTATATAAGTAGGGCCTACATTTCCATAGGATTTCACATAGCCTTGCTTCCCCCAAAGGTATTATCATACAGGTAGGTAGGTAGGATTTCGCCCGAACTGGTCTCATTAGCATCTCCAGCGGGACTCGAACGACGACAGTGGCGCGAATAATCTAGACACATTGATCACTAAGTCGCATTGCCACGAAGGCAATTGGGTCAGAGGGAAAATGTGCATTTCAAGGGAGACGAGACATTTTTAGACGTGGCAATGTGGCTTGGAGATTAACGTGACGATATTATATGATGTACTGTTATTGTTCGAGTTCCTTTGGGAGTGCTGATGGGACCAGTTAAGGCGAGGTCGAAACTGCTGTCTACTCCTGTTTGGATGAAAATACGTTTTGGAAAAGCAAGGCCATGTGAAATCCGATGAAAATGTGAGGCTTACTTATATCATTGTGGGAAAATTCAACAAGTCGAATAATCACCTTAAACGACACAACTCATGTATAGGATCGACTGGTAGACCCGAAAATCTACTTGTAAACAAAATCTAAATCCTAAGGCCCACGCCTAAGATGGCATTAACAATTAAATACTAGCGCTAAAATTAACTTGAGTCCTAAGGAAATATAGATCATTTCAAGACTAAGCAACACAAGAGTCTGGGCGAGTTACAGAGTATAGATGAAATTCAAAGGCAGCTGTGCCATTCCAATACCAGTGTATGGTAAAATTTTCGAAAAACAATCATTTTGTGGTCATTGAAATTAAATATATTACATATATTGATGTCGGGGAGGGCTCAATGATATCTGGTAGTCAATTGAATAAAAACTATAAATCTAAGAATTGATTCTTGACTCATCATGACAAGACATTCTAAATCGAAGGAAAAGTTATGTGGAATGAAATCATGAAATGTTATCAAAGAAGACCGAAGGAAGATTGCCGCAAAGGTTTAGGCCGTTCAAACTATGACGGCATAAGCAGCCATCTGACCCATTTTGGTAGAAGCAGTTTAAGCGACTTTTGAGGAGCTAGTCACACAAAAAGAGCAGACATCTTGACTAGTCCTCCTCATAATTAAAAAACAATTGGCTCTATTGAATTGTTTGTGTGTCTGTGTGTGTGTGTGTGTGTGTGTGTGTGTGTGAGAGAGAGAGAGAGAGAGTGAGAGTGCTAGTGTAGATGCACTGATGGCAAGTTGGCATAATTGAAACCGATGCAAGACAAATAAATGTTGCAGATCAACGACGATTTGAGGATGTTTAATGTATTAAAACCAAAAGGCGTCCTGACGAGTACATGCCACGGGCAGATGTGCCAAGTCGATCTGGTGGGGTCTAGAGGCAGCCCAGCAGCCCCGTGTGAACAGTGAGGAAAAGTAGTGGGTGGGCATGGCAGCGCGACGAAGCCAATTGGGCCAGCAACTTATTGTGGTTGCGACCGACCTGCATCGGACGGGCAAGAGTGGGTCCAGCTCGGCTGTACTTGTTGATGCTGGAGGCAGCCTGGCCCGAAATGCTGTAGAAGTAGCGACCTGAACGGCGCGACCCGGACCATGCAACCCGTGCACGATGGACTGACAACGCGGGAGGCCAGACACCGACGTGTTCTGGCATTGATGGGCAGAAGAGGAGAAATGTTTGGGGTACATTTCATTTCGGCTGCAGACACGACGGCAGGGCTGGCCTTGGAGTTGCACAAACACGTCCTCGGCACACGGTAGCTCGACCTTTCGGTATTCCGTGAGGCCCATTCACGAGGCATCTCCACTCGCTCCTTGCAAAGAAATGAGCATCATCCCGCCCACTTCAGACTGGCAATGGAGTCTTGGGAAACCAGCGTTTCTTCTGC